AGAAACGATCCATATGAGTTCAAATATAAAATATAAGGGCCTATGAATAAAAGTACACCTTTTTTTTTTAATTGGTTAAGGGTCTTCAAATACTTGAGGTTAAGCTGTAAGCGACTAATTTTTCCATTCTACTTTAGTCACTTAACCACGCCTCCTACCACTTGGAGGAGTCTCATTCACAACCTCCATCAGTCCAACTCAGGACTTGGGGCTTGCTAGCCCCGAGAATGGCATCCATGCCACTCAACCTTAGCACTTGGTCCAAGTGCTCCACGTGTCCGATCCCATGATCGACACCCCAAGGTACCACTGACGTATCGGCCCGTTACGCTAAGGCCATGCCCAACTACCTTGGTCACACTGGTGGTCCAACACCACCTGCATTCCAATCCCGTCTCTCAAAGACTGGGTCATCCGTCCATGAGGGATCCTCCCAGATCCACTCCTTAACATCCTTAGGATGCCTACAGACATGGGGAATAGCCTTCCCCAATATCTCTGTTCTGGTCCCCACCAAGTCCCTTTCTGTCCTTGGCTGTGTTCGCCAACACTGCCACTGGATCAAGGCCCACCGGCCCGACCACTAAGTCCCACTATCCTCGAGGACTTCCTCACTGTGTGACTGTGTCCTTGGTCACCCCACCAGAGGGCTACCCCTCTTCCTTTCCACAGTTTGGGACTTTGGGACACCATTTCGGAACACCGTGGCCTTACGCGAGCCACCTGGGTACTCTCCCCACCTTTCGCCTTTAGGTGCTCTAGCCATGGGCTTAGAGCGAGGTTCCGTTGAGCCACGCCTGGTATCCAAGTAGGTAGTGCCACCCACACTTGGACTGGGAGCATCGGCCAGTCGATCTCCCGGGGGAACTAGAGCCGGCTCTTGAACACTTCACCAAGCTACCCCACTTGTCGGTCCGTGTTCACTCTAGTTTTGGACTTCCCAGTGGGCAGCTCATCACCCAACACTGGGTCCGGCCTTCCTGGGCCAAACTGGCCTTTCCTGGCCAAACTGGCTCCACTGCAGTCCTCCCCCTACTATACTTTTGGAGCTCACCAAACCCCCCAGGGTCTGGGAGACGAACGCTTTGGGCTTTCACCCTCTCAGGCTCCGGACTCGGACTCGGACTCGGACTCGGACTCGGACTCGGACTCGGACTCGGACTCGGATTCGGACTCGAACTCGGACTTGGGCTCGGCCTCGGTCTCGGTCTCGGTCCCGATCTCGGTCTCGGTCTCGGTCTCGGTCCCGGTCTCGGTCTTGGTCCCAGTCTCGACTTTGGACTCCATCTCGGGTCCATCTCGGACTCCAGCTCGGACTCCATCTCGGACTCCATCTCGGGTCCATCTCGGGTCCATCTCGGACTCCATCTCGAACTCCACCTCGGACTCCATCTCGGGTCCACCTCGGACTCCATCTCGGGTCCATCTCAGGTCCCATCTCAGGTCCATCTCGGGTCCATCTCGGACTCCATCTCGGACTCCATCTCGGGTCCATCTCGGACTCCATCTCGGACTCCATTTCGGGTCCATCTCGGGTCCACCTCGGACTCCACCTCGGACTCCATCTCGGGTCCATCTCGGGTCCACCTCGGACTCCACCTCGGACTCCACCTCGGACTCCACCTCGGACTCCACCTTGGACTCCATCTCGGACTCCATCTCGGACTCCATCTCGGACTCCACTTCGGACTCCAACTCGGGTCCATCTCGGACACTTCCACGTGTCATGTGTTGGTCCCTTTGGGTCCCTTTTTGGAGCCTCGCTTATTGCTCGCTTTGTGCTCGTTCCTCGAACACTTTGTTGGGAGTTCCACTCCCGCTCTCAACCTTTCAAGTCGGAGCTTTTAGTCCAAACGTTTTACGCTCGTTTGGCTTTCGCTTCGGCCACTACCACGTGGCACCCCTCCAGCTCCACTCTGGGGCCTAGGGACTTTGTGTCTCACATAAGCATCCTAGCTCAAGTTGATATTGTTGTCCATTGGCTAGCATTGTGGCAGCAACCTGTGTAAGTGTCTGTCCCCGTTACCATCGTACACTGCTAGCCAGATGCTAGTCACAGGGTTTGAATAATATTAAGTTGGATGACTTCCTGGAAAGTTTAAATTCATTCGGGTCCAACTCTATTAGTTGGTTAAGAGAATCACATTATATATTAATTGACATTTAGCAAGTTTAATTTGCTCTAGCTGGGCTCAATCCGATGGGTAGGGTGTTGCGAAAACAATATTAACAATCAAAGAAAACAACTTGAGAAACGACCCATAATTGTTCAAATATATAGAAAAAGAGCCCATGAATAAAAGTGCACCCCTTTTTTCAATTGGTTAAGGGTTTTAGGATACTTAGGGTTAAGCGTTCTTGGGTTTGAATAATACTAAACTGGATAACCTTCCAGGTTAGTACTAGATAACCTTCCAGGAAGTTCAAATTTATGAGCTTACATATATTTTATAAGCTTTGTCCATGGACATTGAACATAAAAGCTATGTACAGTGTGATATTCAAAAAATTAAATTAAGCTGTTAAGATTGAAAATTGAACAAACATTACTCATACACTTTTGATTTGCAAAAGGTGCGCAAGTAATTAGAAAGTTTATAAATGATGTTTCTATAAAGATATTAGAAAAATTAGATTTAATAGTATTGAGATACTACATTTTTAAATGGTGTTTGGTATGGATTTTTTCAATAAGTATATCTAAGGGATATATAGTGCTAGATAAAGTTACACCATGTTGAGGTTAGAAGGTTGTCTTGATATATCCTTTCAATTACAAAAACATTCTTCAAGGGATTGAGATGTTATGTTTTTAACTATGAGAATAACTTTAAAAGTAGTTAAAAAAGGATGTTAAACCTTTTGGAATCACATGATGGAAGCCGAGAGTGATGATAATCAAGTTTAAATTAGTGAAAATTTTGGAGTTACTGGTATATTTTCCTGAAAGATTTACCACTAGAGCTATCTCTTAGCCTTAAGATTGATCATTATATTAAATTTATTCCAGATTTTAAATTGCCCATAAAAGCTTTATACCATTTGAACATCAAGAAATGAATGAACTCAAAAAGTAATTTATAAAGCTTTTTGACAAAGGTTATATCCAACCAAATAAATGACTTTATGAAGTGTTGGTCCTTTTTGTTATGAAAAAAGATGGTATCATATATCAATGCTCACAACAATTAGAAATAGTTATCCATTATCTCACATTAATGACTTTCTTGACTAGCTTTTAAAGGCTAAGTATTTTACATAACTTGATTTGTGATTTGGGTATTATCAAATATGAATGGTAAATTAATATATGAAGAAGACAAACTTTAAAACTAGTTATAGATTTTATGAGTTTATGGTTATGTTTTTTGGGCTATGTAATGCTTTGGCTACATTTAATATAATGATAAATAGAATATTTAGAGATTATTTTAACACATTTTGTTGTCTTATATATTGACAATGTTCTAATCTTTAATGAAATGTTAAAGGATCATTTGAACACTTAGAATAAGTGTTTTAGAAGTTGCAAGAAAATAAATTATATGTTAAAGAGAGTAAATGTGCTTTTGGTCAATTGCATATGAGTTTTTTTAAGCATATAGTTAATGGTGGTGTAATCAAGATGAATCCAAAAGAAATTAAAAATGGTGAAGTCCTAAGAAGTCCTAACCCTATATTAAATATTTGTTCCTTTCATGGTTTGTTGGAATATTATTACAAGTTTGTTCGCAGTTTTGTAAGTTTTGCAAATTTTGTTTTTCCATTTACTAAGAGTAATATACCATTTTATTGGACACTAATTTGTCAATGTGCTTTTATATAATTAAAAGATAGTTTATGTTCCCAAGATTCTAAATCTTAATAAACCCTTTGAAGTGCATTGTGATGTCTTTAGATATGTTATAAGTGTTGTGTTGTAACAAGATTGTGACAATGCAATTAATATTATGCTAACGTGATGCAATTGTCCTGTTATGTTTTACTCCAAAAAATTGGATGAAACCTCACAAAGATAGTTTACACATATAATGTCAATATTAGAATATTAATAATCTAATTGCTTGTTTGTGGAAAGTGTTTAAATTTATTAATGAAGTATATCTATAAAATGTAAAGATTATCAACAATGGTATTGCCAAACTTATAATTTAGCACCATTCCATATTAAGTAAATTATCATAAAGATTGGGACAGGGATGAAGGAATGTATAATAGAGGTACAGGATAAGTTGGGTATGGAGAGAGTGGTGGCAGACAAAAGTGTGCAAAGGCCATCAGTTTTTGCAAGCACAAAAGACAGCCATTGCTCTTCCAGGCAGGTGTCTGTGATAGATGCTAAACTTCGAGATTTGAGTTGACGAGACAGTCTATGGTGGTCGATAAAAGTCATGGATTGATTGCCAAACTTCTCATTGATGACAACATTGTTCAGTCTCGTCAGCTTGCATCATGTGTCCAAGTTTGTTCGCAGTTTTGTAAGTTTTGCAAGTTTTGTTTGGCATCTATCATCCCCTGGCCCCAATACCCAACACTCGTCCAGGTTTGGAGATGCTTGGCGCTTCTTGCCATTGCGCTTTCAGGCGAGTGTGGAAAATTTTAATGTTCTGGGGGCACTGCGCCACGAATTTCCTCACCTTGTACTGCTGGAACCGGGTTTTTTTTTTCAAATGGAAATCAAATTTGATCTCAGTGGAACAATCGAATATGATGTTTCGCGCGTTTTGCACTCACACACACAGAAGGGAACTAGCTACACAAGTAACGAGCACATATCCCAGAGAGAAGCGTGCCCCAATGTTTTGTGAGCCCATCGAGCCCAAATTCCATGCCAACCAATCGAGCTTCCATAAGATCATTCCAAGCGAAGCTGGTGAAGAACGATCGATCGGTCCAGCTCCCTGCTGACTGCTAGGAGATCCTGACTAGCTGCGGCATCACCTCATCCACGAAGAACCCTCTGGGAACCCATCACAATCGCATGTTGAGGATCTTTAATATTCTCGCAGGACTTTGAGCGTTGGATTCTTTATAAACCAGAGCATCGAGATAATAAACTAAAGATTGGAAGGCTTGAAAACGTTGAAATCGCTGAAGGATGTCGAGACAATCGTTCCTAGGAGCTGGGGATGCCAGTGAAGTTCCTTCAAGTCCCTTTGGCCCTGGCACAGGAAAGAGAAGAGAAGAGATACATTCACTTCAGCTACATCAGAATAAAAAACACTACCTGGTGAACGAACAACAAGCTTTCTGGCAAGCCTTTCGGAGCAGCCACTGATTGCTTCACTTGTGCTTCTTCTTCTGGATCGGCTTCCACAGAAAAATCCCACACACTGCTCATAACAAGGATAGAATATGAGCTAAACTGAAAAAAAGAGAGACGCGGCGACATACCTTAACTGGTTGTCAGCCGAGGTTGCCGCCAGCATTGAACTGTCATGAGGAGACCATTCGATGGAAGTTATTGGGGCGGAATGGTAGTTTGTCATCCATATGGGACCGTCCTACAAAAACTTAGATATCAGGAATACTATTGACGCACAGAAGCATACCTTCAAATGCTTCAAATTCCATAAGTAGATGATACCGTCGTCACCGCCAGAGGCAAGCACCGAATCTGATCTGCCAAGACAAGGAAATGTTGGAACAGTTGTGACTTATTAGGAAGTACAAACCTCCAAGATATCACGTTAACGTCCGCGTCGTGGATCTTCCACATCGCTGTGCAAGTACAAGTTGGCACATCCCACAGCCTGAGTGTTCCATCAGAAGAGCAAGATGCAAGCCGAAAGGGATCCAACGTCGGACACCACTGATAGACAGACATAAACATTTAGACACGAAATGAAGGTGAAAGCTTGCCTGCAAATCTTCGACGCTGGACGAATGTCCAACAAGAGCTCGACCTCCAACGATCCATTCGCGTCGATTTGGTTGCCAGACATGGATCACTCCGTTGTTATCGCCTGGAGACAAACAAGAACGCTTTTAAGCAAGACATGAAATCTCTCGAGTTCATGTAATCAATCAGACCAGATGCAAGCCATCCTTGGTGCGCTAGACTCCAGTCGAGAGCAAATCCTTCCACCTCGTGACCAGAAAAGACTTGGAGGGGTGCCTGGTGTGCAATGCGAGAAGAGCTTCCGGCGTTGCCGGAAGAGAGCTCTTGCAAGAGGCTTTTGACGTCCCAAATCTGAACCAGATACCTGAGAGCATCGTAAAACCATGGCAGACTTGACTTTCAGACCTGGACGACGCCGGTCTCCGACCATGTTGCGATGATGTTTGGTTCTTGTGGCATGGAACGAATACGATTGATGCATCCATGGTGAGCTATCATCCGGACCTGGTCGATCGAGAAAACAAACGCCTTAGAGAAAAGGTGTAGCGTGGATGCTGCCAACCTCAAGCTTGGGAGTTTTGTCGCTCATTTCTTCGTCGTCACTCTCGTCGCTGCTGCTGCTGCTAGAGTCGCCATCGTCACTAGCAGCCAACTCCACGCCTCTTTTCTTCCCGCTGATGTTGGTCAGCTTAGCAACGATGAGCCGATTATCTGCAGGCTTTGCAGCCTAGAAACCATGAGGAAAAGTGTTTAAAACGTTTGAGATTCCAAGGCTTGTTGAGACTGGAGACTCACCTGCGTTCCAGCAGTACAGAACAAGGTGAGAGGAAACTCGTGTCGCAGCGCCCCCAGTTCGTCTCGCAGAATATCAAAGCTTTCCACACTCGATCACAACAATGCCCCTACACTTGTAAGTTACCTCAGACACGGCCAGCCCAATCGAAACGCATGGATGGTGTCATAGGCGGATGGCTCGTATTGGAGCTCCTCGCCTTCGTCGAGTGGATCAACCCCCGGCCGCCACACCTCCAGCTTTGGAGATGCTCCCCGGCGCTGCTTGGAGCTCTTTTTCTTCCTCCCTGACCGCGCCATTGGGGTTAGGGTTTAAGATATTCGTTTGAAATTGAGTTGTTAGTCAATGGTAGTCAACAATATTTGACTTTTGACTTGATTGACTTTTCTGTAATGCTAGTTAGCCATTTAGAGAAGGAGCTTCAACGGAAGCCAGATCTAGAGGGAAGTTGTGAGCGTTAGTCAATATCAAATATTTGACTTCTGACACGATTGACATTATTTGACTATCATTGACCTTTTTGAGCTCGTGAGGACACTATGCAGTCTGCTCCTTCTACACGACCAACCCAAACAAGCAATGCTCTCGCCGTGATCTCCAAATTTGCGTAAACCCTTTGCTACTGTAGATGCTCGTCGTGACTGACGAAGAGCTCGACGGCTTTTGTTAACGCTTTGGGTGGACTGGCGGTTGAGCTGATCTCCCAGCTGCCTGGAAGAGCAATGGCTCCGTGTTGGAACCAGTTGCTTCTGCGCACGTTTGTCCGCCGCCACTCTCTTCTGGTGGTCTGCGTGGAAAGTTACACTGGGCCACATTCCTCGAGGACCTTTTGGCTTTCCAAAAGATCTCGAGTCGCTAAACAAGTGAATGAATCGAAGTGAAGTGAGTAAAACATCATCAACCAAGACACTCAACCTGCTCAGGTGAAGACACTCCTACACAAATTACAGGTGTGGGCTTTCATGACTAACCTGTAATGTAATGTTCTCGTGTTCTTCGAGTTCACGACTTTGCTCATGGCTTGATGGTGAAATACTGTCCTCTTGTTTGCTTGTGAGGCTTCTAGAGCTCCAAATTTCTTGTATAATAGGATACAAACCACGTATACGTGGTCCACTTTGGAGAGATTCCAGATCTGTGGCCTATCGTTCAGATTCTCTCTACTGGGCGCTAGAACATACTCGCAAGTGTCAGACGGACAAAACTGCTAGCATTCCACTTTTAGTGCCAAAAAAAAAAAATATCTCTGCTTTGCAGCAAAAGCGGCAGCAGCTGACGATTGGGTTACGAGATCTCTCCCCAGTAGAAATAAAAAAGAAGAAAAAAAACGGTGCTACGGAGAGCTCTACGTCTGTGCTTTCTTGCGTAGATTCATCACTCTCTCCAGTTCTTCCGAGCCTCCCACTTCTTCGAGCTCCTGCAAATCAGGAACCAAATTAGTCATACAACCGTTCTTTTTCTCTTTTCGTTGCGTACCTTTGGGCCCAAGAAAAGCCCGTATGGAACACCTTGAAACAAATCAGCGTGATGGAGCTACAAGAAGAAAGTCTCGAGTCGATCAGTCAGAAGAAGGAAAGAAAAACTGAGTTTTTACTTTGTGTGCTGCTGCTACTTTCTGGAAGTAAGGAACGTTTGCGATGGGTCCAACCGGGAATCGACGATGAACTAAGCCGTCATGCACGAACATATAAGCCATTCCAAACACTGTGATCCCCAAGCCCTGCGCAAAGATCCATCCATTCATCGCTCAAGATCGATCAGAGTCAAGGCGATGAGAGGGGCAACTTACCGCTCCAAAGCACAAGCCCGGGAAGAGACCTTTGTTGAAGAAACCATACGCGAGGAGCGCGATCGCTGGCACCGCATTCACGATGGCGAAAACGTCGTTGAGCTCGAATGGACCTTCGCGGGGCCGATGGTGTGACTGGATAGGAGCACGAATTTTCAAAGCTTAGAGAGAACTTGGGAGAACTTGGAAGAAACTTGCAAAGGTTCCAGATCTTTACCTCGTGCATATCCCAGAGAGAAGCGTGCCACAATGCTTTGTGAGCCCATCGAGCCCAGAACTCCATGCCAACCTGACCAATCGAGCTTCCATAAGATCATCCAAGACGAGAGAGAAAGAAGAAGAAGAAGAGGAACTCACCGCTGCTCCAAACGCCAAGGAGAAAGTTCCAAACATCTCTAGCACTGGCACCTCGCCACTTCCCTGCAAAATGCCACCTCGAGGCATCAGACCGAGCAAGAGGAGAGACAAAGTTCGCGAGCTTCACACCTGCATTTGCCACACGAATCTATAGTACACTGACGCAGCTGCCAGCGTCGTGATTCCCACCGTGGAGGCCACCGCCGCAAACAAGTAGGTACTCCTCTCCGCCTTGATCCTAGAGCTGGAAGAACTAGCCACTTCTCTCAAAGAACTCCTCGGCTCCTTCACAATCTCCGACTTGGGCAGCGCCAATTGCTCGCCGGCATTGCCGCCCTGCTCGCGCCCCGCGGCAGCGAGCACGAATCTGCGAGCCCTGGCAGCGCGACTGGAGCTGGCGCCACAATTGGACGAAGACATCATCACCGAGTGTAGCGATGGTAGCAGCGATCGCTCTAGGCCGCCCAGGATCCGGAGCTTGTAGGGGACCGTGAGCATCGAATACGCGCCCATGGAGAAGCTTGCCTCCAGCGCCCACTGGAGTGCCTCATTTCAAGCCTCACATGGCACCACATGTGGAGAGATAATGGCATATTCGCAGGAATCTCTCGGGTGGGAATATCCCTCCGCATCGTGGCCGTTAAACGCTGTTTTGGGCTAAGTGTTTTGCCGCAGTGGACCAATGGCGCGCCGCCCGAGTGAAGCAAGCCACAGTGTCCATGACACTCTTTCTTTTATAATGTTTCCACGGGGAGAAAGATAAAGTCTCCTTGCATTAACGACTTTGTAAAGATGACGCTCAATCAAACAAACAAACCACGATGATCGTGATCTTATCTTTCCTCGTCTGGAATATCTCTTGCGCTTTTTCTAAACTTGTTGAAAATCCGGTCTAAAGTGAGCTTCCACTCCACATCGATCGGCCAAAGAAAGAGCGCCAAAGAGCGCCACCACCACTTCGCTGCAGCTTTCTCGATTCTATTGCTTGACACGGCACTAGATCTCAGAGGACCGACACGCAGCCGGGGAATCGTGTCGCTTAAGTTGCAAGCACGCTCACGAATGGGGCGTTGAGGTGGAACACGTAACTCCCTGCCACAGTTCCGCGAATAAACTCGTTAGAAGTGATCGAGGATCGTCACTGTGACTTACCGAGCGTGGGCATCAGCGCGAAGAGCAGCAGTATGCCGACTAACTTGAGAAGGAATCCCGTGAGAACCATGTCCGGCATTCGTACGTGCCCGGTCGAGAACGCCACGGCCATCGGCGGCGTGGAGACTGGCAGCATGAACGCAAAGGAGGCGGCGATGGTGCCCGTGATCATGAGCAGCAGCGGGTGGATGTTGTTGGAGGTGGCGGCGTTGGCGAGCAGCGGGAGGAAGATGGTGGCGGTGGCGTTGTTGGACGTAAACTCGGTGGTGGCGCTCACGAACACCGCCACCACTGGAGCGAGTAGCAAGTACGGAGCGTTGTCTAGGAAGTTCAAGTGTTGTGTCACCCACGCGGACAGTCCGCTAGCTTTGAATCCAGCGGCCAGTGCGAATCCTGGTGGAAAGTTTGTGGTCTTCTCGATCCATTCAAGAACAAGAGAGTACCTCCACCGAAGAGAAGAACGATGTCCCATGGAAGCTTTTTACAGTGAGACCAATCGAGCAGCCTCTCTCCAGGTACTAGCCTGTTTGGAATGACAAAGAGGAACACTGCCATCACCACCTGGAAGAAAACGATTGAGAGAAAAGCTATGGCATGTTTGCCACTGAAGAGAAAGATTCTTCCATTTGGAGCCACTTACACTGACAGTCCCATCGTCCACATAGCCATGGAAGAATCGCCCCCAGCCAAAGGATGTTCCCAGGGATCGTGTCAACCATAGCACAGCGAGCACCTAGAAAGAAAAAAATAAAAGAATCAAATCGCTTGGAACAATCCATCCAAAGATCGAGGATTTTCTTTTGGTTTTTTTAAACTTACAACGAAGAGAGTAAGCACAGTGGTCTCCGCGAAGCTGATTGATCCTGGAGTAAGAACAAATCGATTTAGAAAATCCATTTTTTCTGGATAGAACAGTGAGAAAAAATCGTACCGAGAGACTTGAGCTCCTCCTCGATGCTGGAGCGATTGAGCCTGGAAGAGATGGTGGGAGTGGCCGAGCGAGGGCAGTAGCAAACGCACAGCATGATCCAGCAGAACAAAACCATGGCGACGCCCAGCGGGAACGCGAACATGAACCACTGGAGGTAGCTCACAGCGGCAGCGCTGGGGAAGCAGCTGTTCCAGATCCCCAAGAACACCAGATTCGTGCCCGTGCCCGTGAGCGTCGTCAATCCGCCAATGCTCACCGAGAATCCAATCCCCAGCACGATCGCCCGCGCGTACTGCCGCGCGTGGAATGCCGTCGCGCCATTGATGCCGCTCCCCTGTTCTAGGGTTCTTCCATCTAGGGTTGTGAGGGCCTTGGAGGAGATGCGTCGCAAAAGCTCCCGGATTTCCTGCCGGCTCTCCGGATCGTCGCCAGCAGATGCCACGGCCTGCGCCGCCTGTGGATCCACATCGACGACATGGATGGATTCGAGCGAGGGAGTGTCCGGCTCGAGCAAGCGCTTGATCACTCCCGCGGACATGGGCACCATCATGATCGCGGTGGCGCTGTTGGAGATCCACATGCTGATGAATGCCGGGCCGACGCAGAACCCCAGCAGCAGCATTCGCGGCGCCATGGATCGCCCGCCAAAGAGGAGGAGCGTCTTGAGCGCCAAGCGCTTGTGCGCCTGGTAGCGCTCCACGCCCAGCGCCAGGATGAAGGAGCCGATGAAGAGCGTGATGGTGTCGTTCATGTAGGCTCGCGCGATCTCGTCGGCCTGGATGATCTGGAAGAGCGGCAGGAGGACCAGCGGGAGCATGGACGTGATCCCGACTGGAATCGCCTCGGTGATCCACCAGATGCACACCCACGCCAGGATCGCCAGCATGGGCGCGATCTTGCTCTCCCCGGCGCTGACATTGGATGATTCTTCGTGGGCGCCATCGATCCGCACGAATGCCAGGATGAGCAGCGCGCACAGAGGCCCCAGCGCGATCGCGATGTCCTTTCTGTGCCCGTGGAGAAAGCCCACGATTGATCTGCTCGTCTTGCTCTTCCCAGGATCGAGATCATCGTCCAGCTCTCGCCGTGGAGGATCATGGATGAGGAGCGCCACTGTAGCAGCAGTACCGTCTAGATTCGTCATGCGCGGCTGGGAGAGCTCGTCCTCCAATATGAGGCAGTGGTGGAAGCGCGATTATCGGCAATAAGATCGAGAGATTGGACACGCAAGCTCCAAGACAATCTCTAGCGTCTTGAATGACCCCATGGACGTGGAGCTCCAATCGCGACATATCTCCAGCTCCACGGCATGGCCCCCCTGCGATTGCGATTGCGATTGTTCATCCTCCCATCGCGCCCATGGACACGGTGCGGGAGTGCGTACGGCACATCGAGGCTTGCAAAACGCTGGCGCAAGCCAAGGCCGTGCATGGACGAGTTCGCGAGAAGAAGCTGGACATCAATGGCTATGTGGCCAACCATCTGGTCCAGATGTACGGCAGGATTGGGCGCGTGGAGGAGGCCAGGGGTGTGTTTGATGCCATTTACCCCAAGGGGGCATATTCCTGGAACTTGATGCTCGTGGCATATGCCCAAAACGGGCATCTGGAGGATGCCAAGGGGTTGTTTAGCGTCATGCCTGATCCGGATCTTCTGTCTTGGAATGTTATGCTCAGTGCGTACTCGAAACGTGGGAGACTTAAGCATTGCCAAGGTGTGTTCGACGCCATGCCAAGGAAGGATTTGGTTTCCTGGAACACTTTGCTTACTGCATATGCCCAAAATGGGAATCTTGCAGAAGCGAAAGCCGTGTATGCGAGAATGCCGGAGATGGGTCTCATGTCGTGCAACATTATGCTTGCGGCACATACGCAGAGCAAGTCTTTGGACGAGGCGAAAGATCTTTTCAACCAGATGCCGGAGAAGAATCTCGTAACGTTGAACTCGATGCTAACTGCATATGCCCAAAATGGGTATCTTGATGAAGCGAGGCAAGTGTTCCTTGACATGCCCAGCCGCGATCTCGTGTCCTGGAACGCCATGCTCGCTGCATTTGCCGCAAACGATAAGCTCGAAGAAGCAAAGAGATGTTACGACGTTATGCCGGAGCGGAATCTTATCTCTGCAAACACAATACTGATTGCGAACTCCAAACAGGGCATTGTCGAAGACGCGCAAGAGGTCTTTGATTCGATGCCCGCCAAAGATCTTGCTTCGTGGACTGCACTACTTTGCGTGTTTGCTCACGGAGAGTTTTTCGATGAAGCGAGGAGTGTGTTCGATCGAATGCCCGAGAGGGACTTGGTCGCATGGACAGTGATGCTCGAGGCCTATGCCCGGAGCGGGCATATCCACGACGCTATCACCGCGTTCGAGCGCTTGCCGGAGCTCGATCTCGTGTCCCTCACAACAATGCTGGACGCGTACGGCCAGAGTGGAAACGTGGTGGATGCCGTGCGCCTCTTTCGTACGTCGCCGTACCAAGATCTCGTCTCGTGGAACGCATTGCTATCAGCCTACGTAAGGAACGGGCATCTCAAAGAATCTAGAGAGCTCTTTGAAAGGATGCCTTTGAGAAACTTGGTGTCCTGGAACGCCTTGTTAGTGGTTTTTGCCGAGACGGGGCATTTTGAGGATGCTAGGAGAGTGTTTGAGGAGATGCCGGACAAGGACGTGGTATCTTGGAATGCCATGCTCTCTGCGTATTCTCAAGGTGGCTCCTTCGATCGGGCGAAAGCCACCTTTGAGTTGATGCCGAAGAGAGACCAGATCTCGTGGAATGCCATGCTTTCGATCTATGCTCAAAACGGGTACCTCGAAGAGGCCGCGAGCATCTTCACTGGCATGCCCGAGTGGAACTCGGTGTCGTGGAACGCACTTCTTGCCGCTTATGCTCAAAACGGGCATCTAAAACAAGCAAAGTTCTTGTTCTACGAGATGCCCGTCCAGAACCAAGTCTCATGGAACGCAATGCTCTCCGCGTACTCCCGAAACGGGCACATCAGCGACGCAAAGCGCCTGTTCGATGCTACTCCGGAGCTCAACCTCATCTCCTACAACGCAGTACTCACCATGTACGCTCACACCGTAGAGCCTGGAATCGCTCTGGAGCTGTTTGGGGCGATGATCCTCGATGGCATCAAACCCGACGAGGTCTCCTTCACCTCCGTCCTCTTGGGCTGCAACCACGCTGGAGTTTTCAAGTCTGGTTGGTCATACTTTTGCTCTCTGGTGGCCGACTACGGCCTGAGGCCAGCAAAACAGCATTTTGGATGCATGATCGATCTGCTGGGCCGCTCCGGTCGCGTGCACGATGCCGAAGATCTCCTCGCAAACATGCCATTCATCCCGGATGTTATCGAGTGGAGAAGCCTGCTCAGAGGCATGAAAAGCCATAGCGGTCGAGCTAGAGCAGCGTCGGACTCCGTTTTGGCGCTCAAGCCGCAAACTTCCGGATCTTTCGTTTTGATGGCCAATGTGTATGAAAGCAATGCGATGGCTCCATGATGTGTATATATATAGACGAGCTTGAATTGGTTGCCTAGGCCAAAAAGCTGCGAGCATGGCGTTGGCGCATCGTTCCTGGTCGAAGGTGGCGGCGGGAAAGCTCAAGCGTCCGCCACTGGAGCTGTACCATCGCAAGGAGGAGCTCAAGAGGCTGGACTCCGCGCTACGTCCTTGCCGCGATGGCGAGCCGGCTGCGCTGCTCCTCCTCTTGGGTCCCAAGGAGTCGGGTAAGACGACGCTGGTTCAAGAGTATCGCAAGCGCCAGGAGCTGGGGGAGTTCGAGGGCATGTCACTCTACGTGGACATGCATCGCAAGGTCAACTCGGGGGAGCGCTTCGCCAGGACGATGTGGGAGAGCTTGGGATCTTCTCTCAAGCTCACCTCTTGGGGGGCGACGGTGGAACAGCGTGAGTTTTCGTGGCACCCCGTCCTCGAGATCCCCAGCTTGGAACGCTGGAAAGCCAAAGGTGACGAGTGCTCCCTGGGCCAGGTGATGCAGGGACTGGAGGTGTTTTGCGAGAAGTGGAAGAACTTGAAAGGTGGCGGACGCCCGACCATCTTCGTGGACGAGGCCAACTCGCTCGCGCAGTGGAACGAGTGCCACTATACGCGCGGCGATAACGATGTGGTTGAAGTGCTGCGGGGTTTCGTGAGGATGAGCTTGGAGGGGTGGGCGAATGTGGTGCTCGTCTCCTCGGACGATCTCTTCAAGCGCTGGCTCGCCAGGCAGGAGCCCATGTCTGGGAGGCATCTCGAGGTGGCCAACCTCACCCCTCTCTCGGCGAAGGACGCCAGGGAGTTCCTGTTTGGGATGCTGGACGAGAAGATCAAGGGAGAGACGAAGAGGATGTGGAGCGACATCTATGCTCACTATGGCGGCGAGACGCTCAAGCTTCTCAAGCTCCAGCGCGCGCTCAACTCGGCAGGACCCAAGGGGATCCGTGAGACGTGGAACCGATTGAAGGAGAGCGAACTGGCGGATGCGAGGGAGGCCATCGCGAATCCCCCGACGAACTGGGTTGCGGCGTGGAAGACCGTTGTCAAGGAGCTCGGGAAAGCTAGAGATGGCATCGTCTCGTACAGTGACTTGGTGGGCAAGGTTGGCGTGACTTCCTTGGATGCGATCATATCCAGTGGCCTCGTCCACTATAGATCTTGCGGGCAGTGGGGGCACGCTGATCTTGGCTCCAGTGACCGCGAGTGGCCCATCGTTATGCCGAAGAACAAGGCAATGCATCTGGTAATGAAAGAAATGGACGCCAACGAGGAGGAGGAAGAAGCGAGTGACGATTCTAGCATTGATGGGTCTTCTTCTTCTTCGAGCGATTCTTTTAGTTGCTCGAGTGATGCTAGCGATTGCGATTCCTCTTAATTGTTGTTAATTCTTGTTAGTTCTTCTTTTCCTTGAGGAAAAAAAAAAGAAAAGTTTTTAGTGTAGGAAAAAGATGGATCCTCTTTTTTCTTTCTAGGGCAATGGCTAGCATCTACAATCTCTTCATCATCAACAAGTCTGGAGGACTCATCTACTACAAGGTGGGAAGAACAAGTGGTATGAGGAGTAATTCTCTCCTCCTTGCGTGTGATCTAGGACTATGGATCCACATCCAAGCTCGACACCAACGACAGCTTGAGGCTAGCGAGTCTCTGGCATTCGATGCACGCCATCTCCAAGCAGCTCTCCCCAACTCCTGGATGCACGGGAATCGAGCTCCTCCAAGCCACCGCCTTCGACTTACATTGCTTCCAATCTCTCACAGGTACTTTTCTGCGATGGAAAAACTCTTTTTTTATTTATTGTCGAGATGGATTTCTTGGCCAGAGACCAAGTTCTTCGTTGTAGCGGAATCAGGAGCCATCGGGATCGAGGCTCTCTTGAAAACCATCTACGAGCTCTACACCGACTACGTCCTCAAGAATCCCTTCTACGAGGTGGAGATGCCGATCAGGTGTGAGCTCTTCGATCTTCATCTCGCGCGGCTCATCTTGCGAGACAAGTCTGTGCTCGTCTGACTCTTAGCTTAGGCTGTCACCTCGTTCTACCAAAACCATCTGTTAGGAGAGAGATCTAATCTTGTTCTTGTACCTTTTCTGTCAATGACGATACAAGCGAATTCAAGGTGCGAATTTCCTCGTTCATCTTGTAGATGATTCGCTTCCTGGGATCGTTCCCGACGGTGAGGACGCTCTGTATCCTGTTTGCTTTTGAGGCATAGCGAAGCGTGCTCACACTCTCTTGAAAGTCCTGGAACAAAGAAAGAATGAATGAAAAAAGAGTGATTTTCATTCATCCAATCCAGATAATTTTACCTGCTCGGCTGGGGAGATGTTTGCGACCAGGAAGGTCTTGCTGTTTCCACCCAGAGAGTCTCTTAGCAACCAAGTGAGTGCCGAGTTTCTATACGATACGAAACTCCTCCTCGACAGGTTGAGGATGACCTGCTTGAAAAAGCAAGCTCGTGAGAGATACAAGCATTCCTCTTTCTTACTTCGTTGAGCAGCGAGAGAGAACGATTGATGTGCCTTGACTCCTCCCGTCTCTCAATTGGTATGCATTGCAATTTCTCGCTGCCTGAATGGAACAAGGATCAGACAGAGTTATAGCTGCTAACTCAGTGGACAAACCTGCTAGATCGACGAGGTTGATGTAGCACACAGAATGACCGGGCATTCCCTCCACGCTCTCGGGGTTTCTCTGCACGTAAGAAACTCATTAGACACAAGGGAGCAACAGCCAGGAGATGAACTTCTCACCCTGATGATCTTGATTGTAAAGAGCGTGTGACTGCGGCTAGAGTTTTTGTAGAGCTGCGTATCACCTGTGATGCGGTTCAAGGAGCCAATCCTGAGACACTTCTCCATGTCTGACCACGTTGTAACTTCTTTCCACAGGAGCCCCTCTACATACGGTCCCGTGACGGGGTGCTCCCTCACTCGAAGAAACTCCGTCCTTGCTGCACACGGGGAGGGAGCATTGAAAGAGAAGGACGAGAACTGATACGGTGCTCCCGGCGGCCTTTGCATAGCCATCCTTCTGTATGTTTCCATCCCTCCACCACCACAGCCCCCGCTCTCTCTTGTGTCCGTCTCTGATATCTCAGAGTCACTCGTGGACAAGTCATCGGCTCTTTCATAGTACCTCAGAGGAGCCGCACGAAGGCACATAGAGTCCACCAAGGTCGGTGGCTTAACTGTCGAGGCTAGAAGGTCCCGGACTTTTTCTTGATAAATCTCGAGATAGCTCACCTGTAAAACGTGTTCTATGTGATTGTCTGCCTTCGAAAATCATGGAAAGTGAAGAGTACCTCGATCGAACAAAAGCCATTCTTCAATTCCCAGCTTAGTTTGCTCATCAGAGCGCTGGCAAGTCTCGGGACCTGGCAGACGAAAAGTGAGCTTGTTCATCCTTGATGAAAACTAAAACAATCTGGAAAGCAGACTTACAAGTCCTCTACCTTCAGGAGTCCCGTCGCCAGTCATGCTGTACGTTTTCCCGGATCCCATTTGTCCGTAGGCCAGAATCTGCATCAACGCAGAACCAGGGGTTAGTCGCCACCATTCCGCAGCAGCACAGCAGCCAGCTAAAGCAGAAGAATTCCTTTCCATTAGACTTGAAGAGGTCTCGGCAATACAGTTGAGTTGAAGCCTTCAAGCGCGTTGTCGATGGTTGGAACCCCGCAAACTTCAAACATCTTCTTCTGCGACTCATCTTTCTTGTCCTTTACATGCGCTTGGAGGAAACTATCGTCCTGCACGTAGTCCACCTTAAACTGGAGATGTCCATTCTCTTGGCATTTCGGCCACTGAGGATGGACGTGTTCTTTCACAATCACCCTGTTCCCCAGAACGCACAGCACCTGTCAAGTGCCTATACCTCATCAGCTTCCGGAAAACTAAGAAGGAAAGCTACAAACTCTTACTTGTTTCAGCGGGCAAATCTTCTCGTGTTCGTGGAATGGTCGCATTCTCACGCAAACTTTCACCTGGATGGACACACAAAGCTTGAGAAACAAATGCAAGCAGAGAAAGAAAAAATGACAAAGATCATACATACTTTCTCTTTGAGGCTGCCATCGCCGGAGCTGTTACTACTTCTAGCTGCTTGCGAGCCGCCAGAGGAGCCAGGAGTAGTACTCCCCGAATTCGAAGAGTTTGGAGTGCCTGTTCTAGGTGGCGGCGACGCCATTGAGCTCCAAACCCCAGCGGCGCCTTCGGTTGCCGCCGCCGGATGATCCGTCTCAAATCTCACAGTCCCAGGCACATTCTTCTTAAACTCGAAGATCTGAGGCGCCGAGAGCAGTGAATCCAGCTGGGTGATCGCAAGATTACCGTCATCCAGCGGCGCAGCCTCCACTTCCAGCTCCAGCGCCGCGCTCCTCCAAGAAACGGTTAAACGGCCCCCGAATAACCACCAACCCTAAACCTACGCGCCCTGGTTTCTAGGGTTAGGGCTCCTTTAAAATTTAAATTTGAATGTGATGTGAGTTTCTTCTTCTTCCAGCGAACGAATGAACGAAAGAATGCTAGCATTGCATGGAATCGAACAATCGAGTCAGTGTTTGCTCCACCTCGGCGGCGCTAAATCTCACACTGGAGGCCTCAATGAGAGCGCCATAGCTCTGGAGATAGCTCCGATAGGCCGGGACGATGTTGTGGACGACGGCGGCCTTGGTCGCGTCTCGCAGCTCCTGGTCGGGGATCCCCACGCCCCGGTGCTTGACGCATGTCTCCTCCAGCGCGGCAGTGAAGCCATCCAGTCGCTGCTTCACCAGCTGCCGTGCCGCCTCCGCCCCCGACACGAGGAACAATCCCTGTCGGGAGAGCTGGCCCAGAACTTTGCCCCATCCTTCCTTCTGGTAGGCCAACGCGTGCTCCTGGACCTTGGATCGCCGGTCCTTGAGCCACGAATCCGTGAGCGCTAGCTGCCGGATCGTGTCGCCGCCACCGCCGCCACTCTTTGGCGGCTGGATCTTGAGCTTCTTGACGCGAGTGAAGACGTAGTAGGCGTTGTTCATGAGGAAGATGCGCTGGTGGACGAGATCCTTGTACCACTTCCGGCTCTTGGCCGCCAGCGCGTCCTCCAAGCTTGCGATCATCTCCACGATTGCCTGCTCCAGGATGAGCCGCCGCTGCTGCTGGAATTCCCTGGGCTTGGCCGAGTTGATCAGCGGATTCGAGTCTTTCCAGCTCTGCTCGATCTGGAGGACCTGCTCCATGGTCTGGACGTAGCAGTCGGAGGTGACGGCCTTGACGTAGTTGACGACGTAGCTGCTAAGCTTGTCTACGCCCGCGTCTTGGGGAGCGCGGAGATCCACCATGTAGTGCTGAGTTTGGTGTGATCGGATTAGCTGGTTCTTGAATCCCCAGAAGAGCTTGGACGCCGAATCCACCGCCAACTTGTGGAGCTCCCTCGCCCGGATCCTCACCTGGGTGGAGCACTCCCCTTTGCCGGCGAAGAGCTGCTGCGAGATTGTCACTCCAAGTTGCTGTAGCGTCGAGTACATGTCAAGCAGCTGGAAGATCTTGTCCGGCCTCTGGAAAGTTTGGTGTTGCTGCTGCCGGTCCCATCGCACGAAACTCTCGCCAAACTCGAGCAGCGTGTGCATTCCGGATGGTCCTGCGATCCTTGCGAAGCACTCGTTCACCTCCCACGGCTCTAGCACGTCTCCGAAAACCTTGGAGCACAAGTCAATCTCGGCAGTGTAGACGATGGTGATGGCGGTCTCCAGGTGACCGTTCCACTCGAGGATCAAATCCTCCGACTGTAGCTGTTGCTCGTTGTCATGTTGTGGAGATTTCTTCCCGTAGCTGCGGGTGATCCAGTCCACCAGTGACGAGCTCTGCCGAAGTTTCTTCACACGTTCTTGCTGGTAGACCCTTACACACCTCTCCAAGCCTCCCGCTACCAACACCACCATCTTCTTCAAGATCATCTGGAGCTTGTCCAGCGTTTGATGATCGCCCTCCAATGCCACCACCGCCAATGCCTGCTCGCCCTTCCTCCTCCTCCTGGACGAATTCCTCCCCATCCTAGGACTCTTGCCCCCCTCGCTAGCGGAGCTGCAAGGATTGTAGTCGCAAACGCTAGAGCTTTCCCTTACCAGCCTTTGAAACTCCCCTTCCAGCTTGTCCGCCGCGATCTCCACCAGCCGCTGCTCGTCCTCGCCGCGGCAACCAGCAGCATTGCCCTGCAATTCCTCCAGCGCCGCCACCGCCGAGAGGTAGCCGGCAATGTCGAGCTGGGGATCCCCGCCCTCGATAGCCCTCTCCAGCCAGCGCAATCGCTCCAATCTCTCGAGCGCCAGCCGCGCGGCCGCTACCGCGGCATCGATGTGGCGATCTGCCCTGCTAGCCTGCTCTGACCTCTCTTGCAGCGGCGCGATCCTGGCGCGCAATGCGGGCAGCTTGCTCTCCATCCGCCCCAGCTGCGATTGGAGCGCCTCGAGGCCCGAGGCGAGATCTACAGCCTCGGCCATGGAGCGCGACAGCAGCTGGCTCCAAGAGATCAGCTGCTCCCGGTGACGATCTACATTCCTCCCCAACCAATCATCCATTCCGCGAGTGCTAGAACAAGAACACGCATACCACGCCACGCTCGCTTAGTCCTCGACCTAAATTCAACAACCACCTCTCGTCTAGTCGCGCAGTCAACTCTCCCCAGTAAAGGCGTAGTAGATAATGCAATTTACCATTTTAGTAAAACTTGCTAAAGGAATTTTGTAAAATCAGATAGCGAATATGCTACTACTCGCGGATCTCGGGGCATATTCGTTCTTCGTCAAGAACAGGGGACCCCTTCTCTCCGGGAGGGAATGCGAGCGAGAGGTCCGATCCTTTCCCTCTGGGGGAGAAATCAAGCGTGAGGTCCGTTCGAGGGGGATTTCTCACGTAGACATTGAGCGATCGATCGTCCAGGCGAATAATTCCGGACGTGTAGCCATATTCGATGCAGAGGACCCAGATATCCTGGATGGCTTCCATGAAATCGTAGAATGTGTGCGCGGTGACGCGAGGGACGCCCAGCATCACCACCACCGTCCCAAATCTGCCCTGGTACACATTTGGGGCATTTGGATGATCGAAGAGGAGGGCTTCCCAGGCGTAGGAGGCGGCGTAGCACATCTCGGACTGGCCCAGGCGATGGCCTTGCTCGTGGCGAAAGCACTGCAAGCGGGCGACTGAGGAGTATGCTGTGGCTGCGTGATGGTAGCGGTGCGTGAGCGTGATTCATCACCCCGGCGATCAGAGCGACAACGAACAAGAGCTTTGACATGATCTTGTTGGGCACTTGATTTTCATCCAGGCTCTTAAACAACTGGGCGTGGGTTTGTCAACAAAGAAGCGGGAGAATCGATGGAGGCCGTGAAAGGACAAATTGCCCAGTGTTTTCTTTGCAAGGAGCACATATGCCCGAAAAGGGCATAGATTTTGTCCATAGCATAGCATGTTTTTGCCAAGACTGTCATGTTGATATCGTACTCAACCTGGACTTATCGATCAGGATCGAATTCTGCATATGCCCAAATCGGGTATTTATATGAAGTCAAACTTTTAGCGAGATGGCCGAGCCGGATGCTGTTTTGTAGAATACCATTTTCTTGGCTTAGACGCAAAGCGGGTAAATAGACCAAGCAATGATCGCCCTTACAAGATTCTCCTCAGGACGCTGGCCGCAAATACCCAAACTGGTCATGTTGATGAAGTTCCAGATAATGTCCCAGCACAATTCAGTCTCATACATTGCCATTTTTTCATCTTATTCACAGACTAAGCATATTATTGAAGCGAAGGGAGTGTTTGATTTAATGCCCAAGAAGAACTTTTGTTTTCTTACAACAATGCTTCCGCATACGCCCAAAATGGGCATCTTGAGAAAACTTTTTGATCGCACGACCCTGTCTCATGAGACGCTAGACATGCACGGAAGAATTGTAGATTCCGAGAGATTGTTTGGCAGTAACAGGAATGGAGTGATGTGATGTGGTACAATATTGTTGATTATTTAGTCAGAATCACTTAATGTCTAAAGTCTCAATCTCGGGCAAGTTGGTGGACCTTGGCTATTTTATCTCTGTCTCAACGCTTCTTCTTTGTGCCATAGCCTCCTGAAGAAACAGCTGCTAGTTTCTACCTCAAAAGTCTCTTTGCTCCAACCCAAAATCTAGAGCTCAGTGAACACCTCTTACCTTCCCAGATGCGCGGGAAGGAATTAATGAATATGCTACGCGAATATTTTGGAAGCTAGGGATACAATTCTACTCCATGGCTTCATGGAATGCGGGCAGCAGTGCGCTCAAATCATGCTCGCCCCCGCTGCCTCGAGCGAGAATTCCCCCGGGCGTGAGAATGCCAGGTGAGAGAAGATTCTTGCTTGCTTTGATTGATCGTGTCCTTGTCCTTGCACAGCAGTCATGGTGGCGGCTATGGCGATGAGGACTTGTCGCAATTGTAAGAAGCAATTCGATCCTCTTGCCAACAGCTCAGGAGCTTGCCGATTCCACACAGCACACTACGGTGGTAAGTTCTTCCTCGAGCTACTTCTCTCTCTTTCTCTTTGTAATCTTCCCTGATCAAGGCGAGACCAAGAGGAAATTCGAGAGCGTGTACAAGGGAGGCACCATGAACACATCGGGCGCTGGTGAGATCTCTCACTACTGGCACTGCTGCGGCAGCCCAGACCCCTTCGATGCTGGCTGCCAATCCTCTCCCCATCTCTCGTATGACGATTGATCGATCTCGATCTCCATCGATCTAGACTCGCATGAATGGAACCGGCACTTGTCCTGGATCGCCAGGAATGCATCCGTCAGCTCAATTCGTGCAGGACTCTGGCCTCGGTGCGGCAAATCCATGCTCAGATTCTCGAATCCCAGATCGCCACCGATGATACCTTCGTCTTCAACAAGCTCATCGAGGTCTACGGCAAGTGTGGGGGTATCAAGCATGCCGAGGAGGTGTTCCAAAGCATGGATTATTCGCGCGACTCCATCTCCTGGGATTTCATGCTCACTGCCTACTCGAGGAACGGGAACCTGGAAGAGTCGAAGCAGCTCTTTGATAGGATGCCTCGTAAAGGAGTCATTGCCTGGACTGTTATGCTGAGATCGTATGCTCAATCTGGGCTTATCGATCAGGCAAGAGAGATGCTGGATCGAATGCCAGAGCATGACGCCACATCCTTTAACACGATGATTTCTGCATATGCCCAAAACGGGTATTTTGATGAAGCCGAGCTTTTGTTTAGTGAGATGCCTGAACCGGATCTTGTTTCGTGGAACACCATTCTCTCCGCTTACACACAAAGCGGCCGAATAGACCACACAAAGATAGTGTTTTTCAAGATTCCACTCAGGACGCTAGTTTCCTGGAACACTTTCTTGTCTGCAAATACCCAAGCTGGTAATATCAATGAAGTGTTGCTTGTGTTCCAGATTATGCCCGAGCACAATTCAGTCTCCTACACTGCTCTCTTGTCATCTCTTGCGCAAACCGGGCATCTGAGTGAAGCAAAGAGAGTCTTTGATTCAATGCCCGAGCAGAGCTTCGTTTCCTTTACAGCAATGCTTTCGGCATACGCCCAAAATGGGCATCTTGAGGGTGCGAGGGAGCTCTTTGATCGCATGCCGGAGCACGACTCCGTCTCGTGGAACGCTATGCTCTCTGCATATGCACAAAACGGAAGGATGGTAGACTCCGAGAGGCTGTTTGGCAGTATGGCTCACAAGGATATAGTGATGTTGAATGCAATGTTGTGTGCGTATGCTCAAAACGGGCATACTGATAAAACTCAAGAAATCTTCAACGAGATGCATCACCATAGCTTGGTCTCGTTGAATGCAATGCTTGTCGCCTATGCTTCTGCTGGAAGAGTCAGTGATGCAGTAGCGCTGTTCGAACAGATGCCGGAGCGGAACGTCGGATCTTGGAATGCCATGCTTGCTGCATTTGGATGTGGACGAATAGAGGAAGCCAAGCATCAGTTTGACACAATGCCGGTGAGGAGCATGGGGTCGTGGACGTCGATGCTGGCTGCCTATGCCCAAAACGGGCATATAATGGAAACCAAGAAGATGTTTGACGAGATGCCTCAACACGATCTAGCCGCCTGGAATTCACTCCTCCTTGCCGCAGCCCAAGACGACGATCGAGAGCTCCTCAGTCGGGTTTTCATGGCAATGCCCCAGCGCGATACCAAATCCTGGGACATCTTCCTAGCAGCCCATTGTAGATCGATCGATCACGCCAACACGGCCTTGAAGATCTTCGAAAGGATGCCCGAGAGAGGTAGAGTTTCATGGAGCACAGCGCTGACCGCGTGTGCCCACGCCAAGCTTGCGGCGGTCAACCTATTCAACGCCATGAAGACCGTGGAGTCTCCGTGCGAGAAAGATTTCCTGATCGCATTGTTCAATGCCCAAGATCTAGACGCTGCCCGGCAAATTTTCGTGTCGATTGCTTTTGACTATGGGCAAGAACCGACCACGCAACACTATCTAGCCATGGTCGAGAGAAAGTTTGACTAAATAGGGTCATTCTTTTCGAATGGTTTGACCAGAAAAAATGGGTCAAAGAAAGGAAAAAAAACAGACAAAAAGGGGCAAAAAAAAAAAAGTCGTAGGCTCGGCGCTATTTGGGCAGGCTCGGTACCGAGGCTCGAGCCAATGGCTGGCCTTTGCCAGAGCGAGCTCATAGGGTTGTCCGCTAATTGCGCGGAAAGGAAATGGCATCTCCCTCCAGCTATGGGTGCTCGCTGTCCAGCAGCCGGGCGCTCTCCACTAGCACGCGGATCCTCGCGCTCAATCCACGCAGGCAAAATGTGAGTGCGAATGCGCAGGGTTTTAGATGCGTTCTAGTCACCACCGTCAAGGAGCCCAGCGAGCCCAGAGCTGCTAAAAGGTTTGCATGGATGTGGATCAATCGCTGCCTAGATTTCTCTTGATCGCGATCTCTGTTGCTCCTCCAGGCGTGTTGGAAGCGGCACGAAGCTAATCGGCTGTGGCTCGGCGGTGCCCAAGCAAGTGATCCACAACGATGACTTGTCTAAGTTCCTGGACACCTCCAACGAGTGGATCCTCCCTCGGACTGGGATCGAACAGCGCCGCGTCCTCTCAGGCAAGAGTTTTGCTCCTTAGTTTCTTGTTTGAGCTTAGAAAGCTCGAGCTTTAGAGCTCGAGAGAGAGGGCTAGAGCTAAATCGCTCGAGCACGCGCAGGTGAGGAGACTCTCAAGGGCCTGGCTGTGGATGCATGCAAGAGGGCTCTGGAAATGGCGAAAGTAGAGCCTGAAGATCTCGATCTCATCCTGTTTTGCACATCCTCTGCGGAAGATACGTTCGGTGGTGCTCCCGAGGTATCGATCAAACTCCCGGCTTTCCATCTTTTTCATTGATTCTCTCGTTTCCTCCCGCAAGATCCAGCGCGAGCTCAGCTGCTCCAACGCGCTCGCCTTCGACTTAACTGCGGCATGTAGCGGCTTCGTCGTGGGCCTCGTTACTGCTACACGATATATCAAAGGTGGTCAATCGATCGAGAGAAGCAAAAGCGCTCCTTTTATCTTTTCTCTTTCCATCTCACAAACTCGAGCTCTTTCTTGCAGGAGGTGGATACAAGACGGCTCTCGTGGTTGGCGCCGATGCACTGTCGAGATATGTCGACTGGAGCGATCGATCGACGTGTATTCTTTTCGGGGACGGCGCTGGAGCTGTGGTTTTACAGGTACTGTAACGAGAAAAGACGAACTTTTCGTGTTTGTTTGTGGATGAGCTTGCGATGATTTCCAGGCGTGCAGCGAGGACGAGGACAGTTTGCTTGGCTTTGATATGCACACCGATGGAAGCGGACAAAAGTAAGATCCTGATTTTATTCATTGCTTTGCAGGACGCTGGATTTGCTCCTTTTTTTTATCCAGACACCTCCACGCAAGGATCGAGCCAGCGGAGGACGCAAAGATCCTCCACAATGGAAATGGATCCACAACCATCAGCACTCCTGCGAGACCACCATCGTATCAATGCGTCCAGATGAACGGGAGAGAGGTGTTTCGATTTGCTGTACGCTCGGTTCCTCAAGTTGTGGAGGCCGCGTTGCAAGAGGCCGGTCTCGAGAATCACCACATCGATTGGCTTCTACTCCACCAGGTTCGTCGTGATTCTAAGTTCTTCTTGGAGCGGCGCTATCATTTTCTTTTTTTTTTTGTTCTTCCAGGCAAACCAAAGAATCATAGACGCAGTGTCCGAGAGATTGGCGATATCGCAGGAAAGAGTGTTATCCAACTTGGTAAACTATGGCAACACGAGTGCCGCGTCCATTCCTCTGGCGCTGGACGAGGCGGTCCGGAGTGGCAAAGTGAAGCGCGGCGACGTGATCGCCTCCGCGGGTTTTGGAGCTGGTCTTACGTGGGCGAGCGCCATTTTCAAGTGGGGATAGATGATAGCTAGATAATCGCGTAGCTATTCTTTATTTCTCTGGAAATAATACTATTCTTTTTGGAATGCGTCCATCTCCATGGCGGCGGCGAGGAGCGCGGAGGTGTTGAGCGTGGACGAATGCATCCATCTTCTCAAGGTTTGCAGGAGCAAGGTGGAAGCGGAGAAAATGGATGCGTTGATCCAGCAGGAGAGTTTCCTTCCGGATCACAGGGTCTACCTTTCGAATCTCCTCGTCCAGGCGTACGGGCGGTGTGGGAGCGTGGAAAACGCCCGCCGGATCTTCGATTCCATCTCGCCCAGGAGCGTTTTCACTTGGAACTTGATGCTCGCTGCATATGCCCACAATGGGCATATGTCCGACTGTAGAGCCTTCTTTCAAAAGATGCCCACTTACGACGTAGTGTCTTACAACACTATGCTGGCTGCTCACTCGCAGTATGGGGATCTGGAGATGGCCAAAGCACTGTTTGTGGCGATGCCCGTTCGAGACACAGTCTCCTGGAACGCTATGCTTTCTGCATATGCCCAAAACGGGCATGTGTTGGACGCGAAGAAAGTATTCGACGGGACTCCCGAGTGGAGTTTTGTCTCCTGGAATGCCATGCTGTCTGCATACACACAATCCGGGGATATAAGAAAAGCCCGAATGCTGTTTGCAAAGATCCCGTTTTGCGACCACACGTCGTATAACATACTTCTTTCTGCGTGTGCCAAGTGCGGGCATTTGCGGGAGGCAAAGGATCTGTTCGATCAAATGCCGTGCAAGGATCTCGTGTCGTGTACGGCTCTGGTTTCGGCTTATGCCCAGCACGGCTATCTCGAGGACGCGAAAGTAATATTCGATTGGATGCCTGATCGAAACCTTGTCTCTTGGAAGTCAATGCTCGTGGCCTACACCACAAATGGGCATTTGGATGATGCGAAGGCGTTGTTTAAGGAGATGCCAGATCGTGATACTTGCTCTTGGAACGTGATGCTAGCGGCGAGCTCCGAGAGCTGCAATCTCATCGAGGTGATTGACTTGTTTTATTTGATTCCTGATCGTAATGTGATATCTTGGAGTGTGATGCTGGCGGTGACTGGAGTGCGTGGTGCAAAGAAGTGGTTTGATCGAATGCCAGAGCATGATACAGTGGCATGGAATGTGATCTTATCTCTCGTGTCCTTCCAGAAGACTGGATCTGGTTATGCGCTGCAGCTCTTGAGCGAGATGATGGTCACGGGGTTTAGACCCAACGACGCTTCTTTTGTGTGCGCACTCGTGTCCTCAAGCCATGCTGGTAACACGCGGTCCGGAATCCATTACTGCAAATCCATCTCCTTTGATCATGGATTGCATCTGTCCAAGCAGCAATTTGGATGCATGGTTGATCTTCTTGGAAGGGCGGGATTTGCTAGAGAGGCTGAGGATCTGATCAGGAACATGCCATACAGTGCAGATGCCATTGATTGGAAATCCTTGCTGAGTGCGTGTAAGAGTCACAAGGAATTGGAACTTGGGCTTGGGCTACGGATTGGACAGAGTATCCGCTGTGACCCCGCAGCACTTCTATTGCTCGAGAACCTGTCCAAAATGCCAAGCACAAACACGTAAAGATTTAATTGCTTACATCATTTATAAATCACCACAAATGAATGCAAAGGTGGGCATATAGCTTTTGCAATGAGGAGAACAAAGTTACTATCGTGTACTTAAAGAGAGAGAATTCAAACACGAGAACGTAGTGAGAGCTCGTATGGTTTTCTCTGCAACATCAAGAGCTTGTATCTCAAAAGGGACGAGCAAGTGCATTTCTCTCCAATCAAAGAAATCATGCGGCAACTCTTGGTGGGCTTGGCAAGCTTGCCCGAACGCGATCTTGTGGACCAGGATGTTCAGCCTGCGACAGCAACTTTTTGGTGAAACTGGGGGATTTCCAAAGCTCAAGAGGGCTTTCAACTCCACCAAAGCCAGAAGTTACTAGATCATTGGGAAACAGGGCTCTGGAAGTTATTTCCGGGGAGGCCGAAAAGATGGTGTGGGGCGCTGGAGTTGTATTTGCACTGATGCTTTTGGGAGAAAACCCTTTTGACTTGAGCTGGGATAAGTGGAGAGCGATTGGTATACGCTGATTGATTTGAGGAGAGATTTACCGTGCAACAAGCTTTGAGTTCAGTGTATTTTACAGTACAATCACAAGACATCGAGGATGTTATCAAAGAAGGAAAGGTGAACGATTCTAGTTATGTGCACTCCTATACTCAGTTAGCATTCGGTTTCATGATATGCTTGTGCCGGAGTATGAGGCAGCAAGGTGGCAATGTAAAGTCAAGTTAATGATGCAACAACGAGTCATGAAGAATGAAAAAATCTGTGTTGTTGTGGCTCAGCCTGATCTAGTTGAGCAAAAATTCCCCAGTAGCAACCACTTTAGAGATTTTGCCAATCACTTCTTTTGTTCTGCCAATGCAGCATTGATGTCGTCCGTCGTCAGTTTGCCACCTGCGCCCCCACTGTGATCTTCAACAGTGCCTCAAAGAACCTCCTGTGATCCAGAGTAGCGGCACCACCACTTGCTGAGACATTTGGCATGGAATAACACTGGAAACAGAGGTAATGTCAACAAAGAGCTTCGATCGAGAAGAGCTTCACAGTACCTGAGTGTTGAGGTACTCTTTGGGGTAACCAGCACCATTTCTACTGTTCCACTTGTGTCGATTTTGGAGTTTCGCTTCGAGTTTGGCTCATATTTATGCGTAAACATCGAGCACCCCATATTTCCAGTGGAATGCTGACCACTGCATGACGTGAATGGGTTCTACGCAACCTTTGCTGAGGTTGGCGAGACCTTCTTTGCAGGCATACTTGAGGACTTGATACAAACCATCCTCGCTCAAAGGCTGAAAGAGTTGGAAGTATAAATCAGCACTAGAGAACGACAAAGTTTAAGAAAATACCTCTTTCCCCTCCACAACCAGCCTTGTGACCCAAGCCTTATATCCCGCGCTCCATACCTTGACGGAAAAGTCCTCCTGTGAGAACTTAGAGCTTGCTTGCTTGAGATCCGATTCCTCGGAGGTTTCCTCTTCCATTCTCGTATTCTTCTTGCGATTCAGACTGATACGAAGACGATGTATAGTGTGAGCTTCACAAAATAGAAAAATCTCCTGGATTACCATGCAAACTTCGTCTACGAACGTCAGAGTTTCGGTCCATATTATCGGACAGTCTGATCAGCCAGGGATCATCTTCCTCTTCCCCGTCTTCCTTCTCGTGGACGTGTTCGTCTTGCAGTCCCCAAGGTCTGGAGAAGGCCAGCACCCAGCCAGGAAACTCCAATGACAAGATTCGTTCCTTCTTGATTTGAAAACTCTGCTATAGCTCTTAAATCTTTTATTGTTCTTAAACTTACCAATTGCACCTGCGTGTAGCAACAAGGAAAATTTAGTGTGATAAGACACTCAATTCTCTTACCTTGTTCACAGAAGGAGAAGTTGACACAAAGAAGAGGAACGGCTCATTGATCATTAGAACATCCTTGCTGTACTGGCTGCCACTTTTGCGCTTCTTGATGCGAGCTTCATCCTCTCTAACAAGATCATCCATTCTTCTTGCCACTTGAATTAGCTCCTCCATCGACAAACAAAAATTTATTTTATTTTATTTTTTAAAAAAAATTTTAAAAAAAATCAAAGGAAAGTGAATTTTTCTTCCTCGTTATTACGTTCATGAATTTTTTCTTGAACATCGTTTTGTTCTCTAACTGTATATTAACAGCATGAGAAATTAGACAGATAAAAGTTGATGTGTGTTTGATACGGAGTCTTTCCTTTTCTTTTGAAGAGAGAGCAGGATTTATTTCTAATTTGACTTGTCGTATTGAGCATACATGTTTGAGAGCAAAAGGTACGAGGCTTGGGTTGGGTTGAGCTCAGCAACTCGCAAGGCTCTCTCAAAGTCACCGCAAATTTTGTAAGCACTGAGCAGGCAATTCCAGGTAGCAGCACTGGGCTTGCACGGCATGCCCAGCATCAAATCCTCCGCTTCATTCACGAGCCCAAGCCTCCCAAGAAGATCAATCACACACGAGAAATGGTCCACTCCCGGTTCTAGTCCATAGTCCCTGGAGATAGAAACGAACTCGTCCACAGCAGCATCGAGTAGCCCCGCATGGCAGCACATTGTAAGCAGGCTGAGGAACGTCACAGCGTCGGGCTCCACACCTTCCAAGCCCATCACTCTCCACAGGCCAAAGGCTTGCTCCTCCTGCTTGTGAAAGACATAGACGCCCAGCATCGCACTCCACAGGACGACGTTCCTCTGATCCATTCCCTCGAACACTTTCCTCGCGTCTTGGGGACTTCCACACTTGCCGAACATGTCTACGATGGCACAGCCCAGCCTCACGTCCGCCTCCACCTCGATCTGCAGCTCGATCACCATCGAGTAGATGCTTTCACCGAGAGCCAGCGAGTTCATCAAGGAGCAAGCGTGGAGCAAGACCACGAAAGTTGCAGCGTCGGGCTGTATGCCATCCATGTCCATCACCGGAAGTAAATCGAGAGAGAGCTTCGCATAGCCGGCCTGAGAGTAGGCCGAGACCATAGAGTTCCAGGCGACCACGTCCTTGGCTGGCATCTCATGAAAGATAGCTTCGGCAATCTCAAGCTGACCATCTTGAGCGTGAGCAGCTAGAAGGATTGTTCCACTCACTACGTCCTTTACTGCCATCTTTGCGTGGAGCTCCCTGGCATTTTGGAGGCAGCCATTCTCGACAAATGCCGTGACCAGTGCCGAAGCTAGCAGTGCGTCCGTAGGAAACTTATCAAACACGGACTTTGCATCGTTGATCCGTCCCAGTCTGCCGTAGTTTCGAACCAGAGCGAGAGCAAAACCAGCGTCCACTTCCGAGTATCTCCAAAGGAAATTCTCGTGGACGCTCTTGACGTCCATCGCAGTCGAGCAAACATTAAGAGCAACCGCGAGAGTGCTACAGCTCGGCCTTGCGCCATCCAGATTCATCACCTGGTAATACTTCCACGCATCTCGCGGCCGCTGAGCGTGGTTAAATGCCGTGATCATCGTGCTCCAGGAGATAGCATTCTTCTGAGGCATGTCACGGAAGAAGCTTTCCGCTTCGCTGAGACGTCTGTTCTGGCAGTAAGTTCCAAGCATGGCGTTCCAGCACATAATCTCCTTCTCCTTTTCCTTCTCCGGAACCGCATCAAACGTCCTCCTGGCTTGGTCAACTCGGCCTCCCTCGCCATAAGCCGTGATCATCACAATCCACGAAATTGTGCTTCGCTCGGGCATACTTTCGAACCGCTCGATAGCTCTTTCCATACGTCCGGATTGAGCATACGCTGCGACGACGATGTTCCACGATGCAACGCTCCACTCGGGCATTTTGTGAAAGAGCTCCGCTGCGTAGTCGCTACACCCGCACTGGCTATACATGAAGAGTAGCGCGTTCCTCGCCAACAGGCCTGTGACACCCGGCCTCTCATCTATATGAAACGCAACCTTCTCGCCATCTTCCAGGGACTGTAGCTTCGCACAGGCATCTAAGGAGCTGACGAAAGTAGCATTCGTAGGCTCAAGGCCATCCAGGCACATTTTCCTGTACTGCTGGAGAGCGTCCCTGTAGTGCCCGTTCTGGACGTAACCGGAGATCATGGCGTTCCAGGAAACTGTGTCTCTCTCCGGCATCTCGTCGAAAAAGAGCTTGGCTTCAGTCACGTACTCGTTCTGTGCGTATCCAGTAAGCATGCTATTCCACAGCACGATGTTGTGACTCGGGCTCTTGTCAAAAGTCTTCCTTGCGAGACTTATATGCCCGTTCTGGGCATACGCCACCATCATGATATTCCAGGTGAAAACACTACGCTGCCTCGTCCGGTCGAATGCCTGGCATGATTCCTCCAATCTCCCACAGCTTCCATACGTTCGCACCAACAGGCCCCCGATAAGCGACTCCTTCTCGCATCCAAGCCTGGCAAGCTCGCAATGTAGCTGCTTTCCATGAGCAAGGGCCTTCTCGTTTCCGTGCCGACGGAGAAGATTTGCAAGCCTGCCGAGTTTACCATCTCTCATGCTCTGCTGATACTCATCTCAGTCAGCTCGCGCTCACGGAAGCCTCGAGCTTGGAGCTGAGCTCGTGGTTGAGCTTAAACCCGGTGTCCACCATCGACTTCGAAACCTCTGCTAGCAGATCCTTGTAGCTCTTTTTGTCGACAAGGTGGCCGACCAGGGTGGTGTACGTTGCGTTGTCGGGCTCGCAACCACACTGTCTCATCACCTCAAACAAGTCGACTGCGTCTTCTGTCAGAGACGCATCGCAAAACCCCTTGAGCAGTGTGTTGTACGTGACAGTGTCGGGAACCAGTCCAGCTCTCAGCATTGTCTCCAGCAATTCACCAGCTTGGCGAAGCCTTCCACGCTTGGACAGCCAGTCGATGAAGATGCTGAAAGTCACCACGTCCGGATACGAGCCTTTGCTGAGCAGGAGCTGGAGGATCTCCAAGGCCTTGTCCAGGTTTCCAGTCTTGCAGAAGCCATCGATGAGCGTCCCGTAAGTTATCGCGCCTGGATCGAATCCATTCTTGAGCATGAGCTCCAGGACGTTGTTTGCTTCGTCCATGAAGCGCCACTTGCAGAGGCTGGAGATGACGATGCTGTAGGTGACATCGTCCGGAGCTAGACCGTCACTGAGCATCTGGAGAAACAGCTTGTAGGCCCGATCCACACGCTTGGATTTGCACAAACCATCGATGACCGTGTTGTAAGTGATAATATCCGGTGAGCATCCCTGCTTCCTCGTCATCTCTCGGAGGAGGTATTCGGCCTGGTCGAACCTCCTGCTCTTGCAAAGCCCGTGAACCAGCGAGTTGTAAGTCACTAAGTTTGGCGTGCAGCCGCTCTCCTGAATCAAGTTGAAGAGCTCGTAAGCTATGTCGACCCTGTATGTCTTGCACATAGCATCGATGATGGTGTTGAATGTGACGATGTCTGGCACGCAGTTGTTGCTAAGCATCTGTTCGAGGAGAAGAACGCCTTCGTGTACCTTGGTTGCCTTGCAAAGCCCTGCTATGACTGTGTTGTAGCTCACCACGTTTGGAACACAGCCCTTCTGGATCATCGAGCTTAGAAGTTGACAGGCTCTCTCTACTTCGTCCTTCTTGCAAAACATGTCCAGTAGAGAGTTGTAAGTGAAGAGATTTGGCACGTATCCTTTCTCCACCATCACCTCCACCAGGCCGATGGCATCCTCAGCCTTGCCACACTTGCAAAATGCGTCGAGAAGAACCGTGTAAGTGACAACGTTTGGCTGGCAGCCGCCGTCCACCATCTCTTCCAAGAGGTGATACGCCTCGTCAATCCTTCCTAGCTTGCAGTGACCGTCGATTATCGTGTTGTAAGTGACGATGTTGGGAGAGCAGCCACTTCTAGTCATTCTCTGCAAGAGAGCCGTCGCTTCGTCGAGCTTCCCGGCCTTGCAGAGCCCGTGAAGCAGCGAGCTGTAAGTAACAACGTTTGGAGAGCATCCTTTCGAAACCATGTCTTCCACAAGCCGGCAAGCATCGTCCACTTTCCCAGACTTCACGAGCGAGTCCACGATTGTGCTGTAAGTGAACACGTCCGGCGGGCAGCTCCCCGATTCTTCCATCTCTTTGAACAGCTCCAAAGCACTGTCAAGCTTTCTGGCACTGCACAGCCCCTTGATCACGACGTTGTGGAGGATAACGTTTTGTGGAACGCCATGCCTGGGCATCTCTTTGAGGAGCTCGTAAGCAGTCCCGATATCTCCAGCTCTGCAAAGCCCGTGGATCAAAATGGTAAAAGTGAACATGTTGGGCGAGCAGCAGAGCTTGTTCCTGTACACCTGTAGCGCATCCTTGGGTCGCTTGAGCCTCAAGAGCGCTTGCAGCAAGCAGTTGCACGTATAGGTGTCGTGGTTGTATCCTTCTTGAGAAGTAGCCCAGTCGAAGAATCCCAAGGCAGCATCGCCATTCCGAACGCCCTGTAAAACCTTCCCGACTACTGTCGTCGTCAGCTTCCCTGTGAATCTCTCCAGTGCCGTCTCTGCGTACTCCCAAGCAAACCTGCTGTTGAGTATCCTTACAATCTTGTGATGAAAACCACCTTGCGTCGCTACTGCTGTTACTCTGTACTGGTGAGGCCTAGGAGAAAATTGGCCCTGCTGGTCTTTGGAATCTAGAACTCGAGTTTGGCTCGTCAAGGCGGCCATAGGAACCGCCATAGCCATCATCAACACATCACCTGGGACAAAGTCATGGTTATTCAGAAAAGTTAAAAGTCTTAAAAACAAATGCTAATTACCTCTTATAACAAATCGGTGCAGTCTGGCTCCGTTAGCGTTCCACTGTCCCTTGAATAAATAACCAGTATCTTTTCCAATAAGAATGTCATCAACCTTGCCGAAATTTGAAGTCATTTTCCCCTATAGTCTTCCACTTGGGACCTCGATCGCACAGATCGACATAAAGTCCCAACTTTTGGAGAGACCTCGCCCATTTTACGAGTAACCAGCAGGCCTGTTCTTCGATCTCTTTAAACATCTTCAGTTTCCTGTCAAACCTTCTGGCACGTATCCTGATCTAAAAGTCCTGTTTGCAATGTCAGCAACACATGACCTGCACAAAGCCATGGCTATCAGATAAAAATCTATACGCAAACGAAAGTTTGGCTGTTTACCTCTTCTGTCGCCTCCATTTCTTTCAGAAGTTGCTCCACTAGCTCCAGATTGTTGGTCTTCTGCAGAGCTCTTAGAAGCGTGCCGTAAGTCATCCTATCCGGTAGACAACCTTTGTCCTTCATCTCCCTGAGAACTCGCCAGGCTTCCTCCAAACGAGATGCATTGCAGAGGCCGTTGATAAGACAAGTGTAAGTGATAGAATCCGGTGTACAGCTTTGCTTCCTCATGATCTCCAGCATCTCAGCTGCTTGCTCGACTTTGTTGATTTTGCAGAGGCCATCGATGAGCGTGTTGTAAGTCACCAGATTGGGAGCACAGCCGCATCCCAGCATCTCCTGGAAAACGTCAAAAGCTTTGTCAACTGTCCCGGCCTTGCACAAACCATTGATGAGAGCACTGTACGTGACCACGTCCGGAACACACTTCGCCTCTTTCATCCGCTCCAGCATCTTAAAGGCCGAGTCGAGGTTATTGTCCTTGCAAAAGCTGTGAATGACGATGCTGTAAGTCACCACGTCTGGCATCACGCCTGCTGCTCTCATCCGATCGAACAGAAGAAAGGCATCGTTAATCCGCCTGGACTTGCAGAGACCATCCACGACACTGTTGTAAGTCACCACGTCGGGGTAGCACCGGTTCTTCACCATAACGTCCAGCCAGCTTTCAGCCTCTGGCAGCCTCTTAGCCTTGCACAGTGCGTGGATCAAGATGCTGTAGGCCACCACGTCTGGAGCACAGTCCATGCCGATGCTCATACGCAAAAGCTCCTGCGCCGAGTCGATCGCTGCTGCCTTGCAAAGCGCGTCGATGAGAGTGCTGAGACAGGCAACATCCGGCCTACATCCACGTCGAATCATCTGCTCCAAAAGGTCGTGTGCCTCGCGTAGCTTTCCAGCCTTGCAGAACCCGGAAATGATCGTGCTGTAGTTGATTGCATCGGGAGGACAGCCGGTTTGGATCATCATCTGCAAGACTTGGTGAGCTCGCTCCATGTCGTTCCTCCGGCAGAAGACGTGCATTATGTTGTTGTAAGTGATGGCATTCGGCCTGTATCCTCTCTCCGTCATCTTCCGGACGAGCTCCACGGCACCATCCAAGTCTCCAACTCGGCAGAAACCGTCCACCAGCGTCCCGTAAGTTATCACGTTTGGCTGGCATCCTCTTTGGATCATCTTGTCCATCACCCGGCAAGCCTCATCAACTTGATCCAACTTGCACAAACCATTGATCACTGTGGTGTAGCTCACGACGTCCGGAGGACATCCCCTCGTCACCATTTGCTCCAGCAGCCAGAGAGCATTCTCCACACGGTTGGCCTTGCAGAAACCATGCAGCACGGTGTTGTAGCTGAAAACGTTTGGAGCGAAGCCATTGTCCACCATCTCTTCCAGGAGCCGGATAGCATCATCTAGCCTGTCCGACTTGCTGAGCCCGTTGATCATCGTGTTGTAAGTCACCGAGTCCGGCGGGCACGTCTTGCTCATCTCCCGAAAGTGGAGCACCGCGTCCGAGCACTGGCCGGCATCGCACAGACCCCTGAGGATGCTCTTGTGTACTCCAGCGTGAGCCTTGAGACCCTTTCGATTCATCTCGTCGAAGAGCTCGTAGGCTGGCAAGATCTTCCCTGCTCGTATGAAGCCACTGATCAAAGTGCTGTAAGTGACCGTGTCGCCGCCCCACTGCCCCTCGATTCTACTCCGAAACAAATCGTGAGCTTGGCTATACTGGTGCGCCTTGACGAGAACGTTGAGCAGGCAATTGCAGCAAAAGATCTCGTGCTGGTAGCCATCTCTCGTCTCGGCCCATTCGAAGAACACCAATGCGGCCCCTGGATCGATCAGTCTCTGGAGTACCTTGCCGACAATCTCTGGAGATAATTGTCCCCTATACTCGTCCAGAGCCACTCGCAATGCCTGCTCGTCACTGGCACCCTGGACAATCCTCTCTAGAACAGAGATTGGACTGTCACTGCCCACCCATCTGTCCACTCTTCGCAGCGAATTCTTCTTGTAGAGCGCGAAGTGTTCCCGGATTGTGAGCCTATCTTGGTGCGGCCGGAATGTCCGAGGAGCGCTCACCGAGTCGCGTACCGTGAGCAATGCCGTGGTCGCCACCAAGCTCGATCGCTCCAGATTGGCGGCAGCCATCGCCATGGACATGATCCTCTTCTTTTCTTAAAGCGCGCCAGCGTCTCATCCCTTCACACATACGGATAAGCGAGCTTTGCTGCTAATATCGCAGTAAAAATCTCTTGCGGTACCTGGCAGGGCGAATGCTGGTTCGATTCGCACGAAATGCGAAGGCGCCGATCGCAATCCTCGCGTCGCGATGGATTCCATCGAGAGGACGATCCGCGCTTCCGCTCCCCCTGATCACCGCCATCGCCAAGAACCCTGAAACCCTAACAATCGCTGGGCATGGATGATTTTGGGGAAATGCCCAGATGCTATCGTCGATCTCGTCCGGGCTTGTGCCCGATCCAGGCATCTGGGAGAGGCCAGGCGGATCCACGCCCAGATCCTGGCCAGCCCCCATCGCGGCAACAAGCTGATGCTGGATCAGCTGGTGATGATGTATGGGAAATGCGGCAGTGTGGAAGACGCCCGCGAGGTGTTCGAGAGCATCGATGCGCCGGATGGCTACTCGCGCAATCTTCTCATGGTTGCGTACGCGCACAACGGGCAGATCCACGGAGCCAAACTCGCGTTCGACAGCATGGGGAGGAGGAGTGTGGTGTCGTGGAACGTCATTGTTCTTGCATTTGCCCAGATCCGGCATCTAGAGGAAGCACGGATAATCTTCGACTCCATGCCTGCCAGGACGATCGTCTCGTGGAACACCATGATCGCTGCCTACAGTCAGGCTGGGTCAGTGACTGAATCCAAACTTCTCTTTGATGCTATGCCTGGTCGCAGCGAAATCTCTTGGAACAGCATGATTACTGCATTTTCCCAAAAGGGGCATTTGGAGAGTGTGACCGCTTGCTTCTACAAGCTACCCAAGCGAACGATCGTGTCGTGGAACTCCCTACTTTCAGCGTTTTCTCAGAGAGGACACACGCAGAAAGCCATCGAAATCTTTCGAGCTATGCCCGAGAAGGACACGATCTCCTACAACGCAATGCTGATCACTTATGCTCAAGCTGGGTTTGTGGAGGAGGCCAAAAGGAACTTCGACGAGATCCAGGAGAGGAGCATAGTCTCTTGGACAGCGATGCTCCAAGCGAGTGTCATCAGCAGCGATCTGGATGGGGCCAGGATCATCTTCACGCGAATGCCGCAGCACGATTACGTCTCCTGGACAGCGATCCTCTCGGCGTGCGCATCGAGTGGCCGGATCCAGCAAGCCAAGGACATCTTTGAGGAGATGCCCGATCGCGATCGTCACGAGGGCGCTCAGAGCGCGATCATTGGAGCGTATGCCCAATGCGGGTATCTCGAGAGCGCGAAGAGAGTGTTTGACAAAATGACCACGCGGACGAGCCTCTCGTGGACCGGACTCCTCTCAGGCTATGCTCAAGGTGGCCATGCTGTGAAAGAAGCAAAAGATCTCTTCGATAGAATGCCCGATCACAACGTTCTCGCTTGCACGATGATGGTCTCGGCGTACGCACAGGACGGAGACGTGGTGGAAGCGAGAAAGATGTTTGATTCCATGGCAGAGAGAAACGAGGTCTCTTGGAACGCTCTTCTTGCCGCGTATGCTCAAAGAGGAGATGTGGAGGAAGTGAAGCAACTATTCGATCGGATGCCCGAGAAAGACGTTGTCGCGTGGACTGGTTTGATCCAAAGCTATGGTGAGGCCGGAAATCTCCTGGGAGCGCGGCGCGTGTTTGATCGCATGCCCGAGCAGGACGTAGTTTCGTGGACCGCCATTCTCTACGCGTATGCGCTCCACGGGCATCTAAGCGAATCGAAGAAGCTGTTCTTGGCGATGCCCGAGCGAGACGCGCTGTCTTGGATCTCCATGCTGGGTGGATACGCCGCCAATGGCGACGTGGAGACGGCCAAGAGTTTCTTCGCGAGAATGCCGCAGCAGGACGAGATCTCATGCACGGCGATCATGGCAGCGTTTGCGCACAATGGCTACTGCTCCCAGGTGGTGGAGGTGTTCTGGCGGATGATCGTGGAAGGCGTCAGCCCGGACGAGGTCGCCTTCGTCACGGTTCTCACGGCTTGCAGCCACGCCGGGCTGCTGGAGACGAGCTGGGAGCTCTTCGTGTCCATGCGGGGGGATCATGGATTGAGGCCTCTGAGCCAGCACTACCTCTGCATGATCGATGTTCTTGGGCGATCGGGATTGCTGTCCAGCGCGGAAGAACTCATCGCCACCATGCCGTTCATCCCCGACGAGGTGGCGTGGGGGATGCTGCTGGCGGCATGCAAGGTCCACAAGGACGTGAGCCGTGCCGCCCGGATAGCCCGGGATGCTGTGGCGGCAGACCCCGAGGATTGCTCCTCGTACGTCTCGCTGGGCAACACTCTGGGCGTCGCTGTGGAAGAGAAAGACGGAGATTTGCGCTGACTTGGTTTCATGACGTGAATATTCTCGAACGAAGACTATTCTTGAAGAGGAGAAGCATATTCTTATCAAGATCTACGTGGACATCATCAACGAATGAATGTTTCCAGTCACCAGGCTTTGGATGAGAGTGTGACAGAAGTGGCAAGGAAGCTTGGAGCAAGAGACTAGTGCTAGTTTCATGCAGGTGGGGCAGGTTTATCTTGAGATGAAGCAGCTCATGCTTCCATCAATAGGCTAGCTGTTTGTCCATTGTTCAGATAAAAATATGAATTGTTTGGATTTTGGATCTCAATCCAAATGCATTTGTAGAGGACTTGGTTATCCCAAGTCCAAGGACAGTGCGGTCTGGGTGTAAATATGCCTTACTTGTTTTTAAAAGTATATTCTTAAAGGTATTAAGAGGTATATTTTAGTTTTTCATAAGTATACTTAGGGGTAAACAATGAATGCAAAGGTTTGCCATCATTCACATAAAGTGAATTCCCCAGAAGAGGCTACTATGGCAATGATAAATCTCCAACATGGCCCATGGGACAAGAAGCACATATTTTTGTTGTCATTTCATATGTCACACATGAAGATTTTATTAGAATAAGCAATTGAAATAACAGATTTCATAGTGATTTTTAAACCACCTTAAACATTTTCTATTTTAATTAAAAAATAAGATTATATTATCCTCCTTCAACTCTTTAAAAAACTTACTCTTATTATAAAGCTGGTTGTTCACAACATACATGTCTATAATGTTGGATTCCCAGCAAGTTTTTTTTTTAACGAATACAAACAATTTATATTTATTTAGTTAGGCATAATTTATGATTATTTGTCTCTGTATCCCATGTAGGAATATTTGGAGATTTTAAAGAATATATTACTAAATTACAATCATCTTGAACTTTAAGTATAGAATCATTAATACAATCGGACTTTAAATTTTGTAAACAATATTTATTAATTATAAACCATTCTATCTTGCTATTTGATAGCAAAATTAGATTTCCATTGTTTTGTATTGCAGAGCTTTCCATTTTAATGCAGAAACAAAATCACAATGCTGTCATCATGGTTGTGTCCAAATAAAAAATAGAAACCATTTCCCTGAATTGCACTACCACCTCCTTTTAAAGACTATTGTGCATTTGACAATTTAAGGAAAACTTTGTCACCAACTTTGTACTCCTAATAACAATAATGATCATTAGCTAATCTCTAAAGTTGACAGAATAAAACCCTGTTTCTTCCTGATTTAGAATCCCAAATTTTATTTACTCCTGAAAACAAAACTAGGTTGCAATCATTTTGTAGATATAATATGTTTTTCTGGTTTGGAGAAATTAAAAATTTTGTAGAAAATAAAGTATTAAAAGGTTTTCTACTTATTAAACTGCTGACAAATATATCACATGTGGAGAATGAGTTTATACTATAGTTCCTATTATAGAATTGCTCAGGTTCAGACTGACCATCTAAACTATAATAAATTGTGTATGTTCTTGCTTTAAAAATTGCCCATTCTGCAGCTTTTGCAATTAACATACTTTTACTTCCTTGTAAAACACTATTAAAACCTTTATATACATTTTCTGGCTTAGCTGTACTAGCTGCACCACATGTTCTTATTATTTTAATAACTGCCATTCCTCTTGAAAGGAGAACATAATCAATATTATACCATTCTGGAGGGTATCTTTCTAAATCTGTATCTGTTATTTTCTTTATTAAATTTTTAAACCCTATCCAAATCAAATCCATATCAAAAGAACTAATTTCATTTTCTTTTCCAAAATCAGCATCAATATAACTATAACTAAAATTTTGAATATAAAGAAATAATAAAACTGATAGGATCAAGTAATATAAAGCCATAAAAAATATATAACAAAAAATATAGTAAATAAAATTTTAGTATAAGGTTATATACTTGCTTCCATTATACAGAAGGTAGCCATATGTCAAATAGAACATAAATTACTTTTAAAAATTTTTATTTTTAAAATAGGCTTCATTTATTAAACAATTCATTAAAATACTATAATAAAAATTTATGATTTGTCACATATCTATTTCTCTATATTTAGTAAGTAGTATATTCATCATTACTAGCTATGAATAGAATCGAACCTTTACTTATAAGATTTAAACTCTTATGCACACAAATGAATTAACATGAATTGATACTTAGATTAAGTTTTTGGATTAGCTTTCAAAGCCCCTATAAAATTATAAATTGTTCAATCTTTCTTCTCCAATATTTTATTAGTAATTTCATCATTTCCCCTTCTCTTGATTATGAGCTCTTGACAATTTGAATATTTTTATATTAGTGGGTTCTTTGGGTCTCTTTTTTAGCTCTAGTTAGATTTTGATACTCTATGAAAGTTATATCAAACATTGGAGCAATCTAATATGGCATTTGAGTTGCAACTATAGCAAATTATTTAATACTAATAATAGTAATTTTGTTCAAAGTTAAAGATTGGTATGCTAGAAAAGATTGATGGCATGTGATCTGAGGAACTCAATTTCGGACTTGGTTTCGGACTCAATTTTGGACTCAATCTCCGATTCGACCTCAAACTCGGTCTTGGGCTCAGTTTTGAACTCAGTCTCGAACCTGATCTTGGATCTCAAACTCGATCTTGAACTCGGTCTCAGAGTCAGTCTCAAACTTAATCTTAAACTTGGTTTCATCTGATGAACTCTTTATCATCCCGGTCATGGTTTCAAAGATTCTTTAGCTTACGACACTTCGGAGAGTTAGTTCCTTATAAGAACCAAAAAAGAGGCATCTTAGTAAAAAGAGATTTAATTACCCCATATAAGAAAT